TAAAAAAACATCGACTCCAAAAAATCCTTCAAATACTCATTTCTCGGTTATTTTGAACAGAAATCAATTCTGTCAACGTATTTGATTTTGTATTTACAAACACTAGTAAATGGTCCAAATAATTGGTAAATATGAAAAACAAAACTACATTTAAAAAATCAAAACACAGACACACATATCGTTTATTAATTTATGAACTAGAAGTAAAAAGAAAAATATATTTCGTCAAAAAATACGGATAATATTTGCGCTTCGAGCGCCCTACTGATACACCCTGTATACTAAACCGGCAAGACGTTTGAGTGTTGCGGAAGTGTTAGTAGACTTAGACATCACGGAGGAAAAAATGATCCCGGCAAATCCAGCTTTATGAGTTTTTGCATAAAAATTTGTATTCAAGGGTTACAAACAACATAAAAGGAATTCGAATTGTGCTTTTTACCTACTTTCGTGGAAAAGTTTTTTTTAGGTAAAGTTGTAAGTTTTGATATTTTTAATCCCATTTATTACAGTGATAGTCATTATCTTATCCTTGATAAAACATCAAATCGACTGATATAAAATAACTAATAAATTAATAACCTTGAAATATGTGCAAAATAAAACATAAAAATTACTTAAATTATTTTATATAAATTAATTTTTCTCTGCGTCCAATTGGCTGGAACGTTCATCACCCTCATCCTAGTTTCCTATTGTAAAAGAAAATTGTTTTTGGTGATTTCTAATTTTCCCCTTTTTCTTCATAATAATAATCCTTACATCCACTAGAAATATTTCCAGCCTTCGAATTGTGTTTTACGTTTCTTGTTGTTGCATTATAACTTCTATTGGGATTAAAAATAAATTTCTTCCAATTCTTTCTTATCAGTGTTTGAATATATTTACAATGTAGAAGTTATGGTTTAAAATTCGTTTCTATGACTCTTTGTTTATTTATTGCTGGTTAGTGTAACAGAAATGATCAAACTGCTGCCAAATGAAAACTGTCATCCTTGCCTCAAGAAATTTTCAGCTTAAAATTAAATTTGCCTAGGAAGCACAAGAAATTGAAAGAATTGACATTACCTAAACAATAATCTCTATATTTGCGTTTATAACCGAAATTCGTACAAACTGGAAGAACCTTCGCCTTGTCTAATCCTCCTGTGTTTATCCTCAAAGTTGGATAATCCCATGTTTTTCCAGAGGCATATTTGTTAAGAATTGTTTTTTGTCGAGCGGAATGAGTGGAATTTTAACCAAACCTTTCTCGAAGGTGTCTATAATTGATTAATAATAAATCTGAAGTTTTATGTGTAATCAACATGGTTTCAATCATTTTTTCCGAGTCAATTCAGGATTCAATTGAATATTCATTTACGAAACCACTTTCGAACTATTATTGAAAAGTAGGAATTTTATTGAAAAGTTAGTCCATCGCAATTATTTGTCTTTACCGATAACCTACCTGTGGTATGAAAGCAGGCAATAAGGCAATTTTACGTAGTTATTATACATAAACAATGTTATTGTTTTATTTTACTTTATTTTATTTTTTTAAATAAAATAGAACGATTGTTGAAACCTGGTGAATAAGTTGACTGAAACACTATTTATAATCTATGTCGCAAAAAATAATGCGCAAATAATTCTGATTAATATTTATTAATGCTTAATATTTAATGGAACTTGAATTTATAAATATATAAATAATAACTGTGCATACATTTTAAATAAAGTATGACAACGTTTCTTTAAAAACTAGTTTTTCTGAGAAACTTATAAACTCTTACAAATAATTAAGGTATTTAGTTGAGATAAAAAAGTCAATGGCACGAGCGAGATTCGAACCCACGGTTGAGATGGGAAGTTGGTATCCGAGAGGACCGAGATTTGTTTAGTAGTCTTTATTGATCATATTAATTATTCCTTTCATCTAAGGTTTTTGGTTGAGATGAAAAATTTATGTCATGAGAGGGATTCGAACCCACGATCTTCGAATTGAAAAATGCCTAACAGAGGGAAAATTCAAAAAGGTGGGGTTGAGATGGGAAGTTAGTGTCTGAGTGGATCGAGGTCACGATAGCTCAAGTGGTAGAGCAGCGGCGTATCAGTTCGAAGATCGTGGGTTCGAATCCCGCTGCCATTGACTTTTTTATCTCAACTAAAAACCTTAATTAATTGTAATATATTAATTGGTCAAGCGGACCACGAAATTAGTGAACTTATAAACTCTATTTTTTTATCAAACTATAAATTTGACATTAATGTTGTTGAACATAATAGTTACATAAAAAAAAAATTTTACAATGCCATATATGAGTCATAATCAACAAAAAGAAACTTGACCACCCGTCTTATTGAGTTGTGATCGTCTGAAACTGGTTCCAATTGCAAGGATCCAGATACTTAACAGCACCTGGCTTATTAGATATCACAGACTCAGAGTTGTAAGTACGTATATAACCGAAACATAAATAGAATCGCATTGAATTGGATAACTCAGCGCAAAGAAAGTTTAATAAGAAAGCCCTGAGATTATTGGGATAAAGTATAGCTTTAATGCCCGGCTCTAGGCCGCTCTATAAAGTAGTCGACTTCATCCTCGTGCTTAAAAAGCATTAAGTTATATCAAGACTAAAAGCAACGTTTATTTGAAACAATTAACAATGCTTCTTACAGTTTGACTGTTAATCCAAATTGTTGACACCTTAATTCGTTTATGATAAGATGCGGGCTTCATTTTGTAAAATTATCCAATTTTCCTTTAACACACAATACAAATTAGGCGGTTTTTGTTGAATCTGCCAGAAAGATTTGTTTTTGTAAGCTTGAAATAATTAAATTAAGACAGCTGTTTCCTAAAGCCGTTAATCCTTATCAGTCTCTCGCCCGTAAAGGAAAAGAAATCCTGGTTAAGAACGCCAATATTTGTATTTGCTATTGTTAACAACCTCGTTACACTGTCTCGCAGTTTCAGAAATGCTTCTATTTGCGCTTCTCCTTCTTCTATTTACACTCTTGAGCGAAGTGAAATTTCCCCTAGTTTGTATGCTTAAGCTGACGCAATCCTTTTATTCTTATAACTCCGTTGTGCAAATTTAACCGTTCGGCACATCAACTTTAACGCGGTTGAAAAGCGAGTAGATAAAAACACTTCCTATTCTACAATTTTTAAAATCTAAATAAATCCAAACAAGATTTTAAGAAAAACAAAAACCGTGAAGATTTAACATTCAGATGTCAAATAGAAGTATTGTTCTGAAGAATTATGCATATTGTTAACAAGAAAGCATTCTGAGACTTCTTCTAGCCCACCAAGACACTACTAAAGACGGTGAAAACCCTAAACGCGTCTGACCAACTAAAACTTACAAAGTTAGACAGACTAAAATGAATGGAAATTACGAAGTTACAATAAAATACATTCATAAATTCAATTCTTTTGTTCACAGTTTGACAGATTATCGTTTCAAAAGGAACATCGGGTTAAATAAAACTTCAGAAAGTTTTTATCGCACACCGAAAGTATTCATCTTCCCCGTCAGATATGTTGAACTGGGTAGCCCAAGTGGAACAATTTTTATCATCAAAAAATATGATGCCCGTGTTGCTATCGAGGACAAGATGATAAATATCTGAAACTGATTGATCGAGCTTGTTACGGCACTTGATGGATTTCAACGTCCCCTTTTAAGAAAAGAGTTTATAAAATAAAAATATTTTATGAATTTTTGTAAAAGACTCACTTAGGTGCCTAATTTATGGCCGAATGCATAAGAAATCTACTTTTAAATCCTGTTTAAAAATGTAATTAAAGATTATTTGGAAATCGTGAGATGCGGTCTTGTGTAGGTTTAAAAAAATATTTTCTTTATCGTGCCAACGTTTCGATCTTTATTTAGATCATCTTCAGGGCTCAAAGTTGTAAATAAAGATCGAAACGTTGACACAATAAAGAAAATCTTTTTTTAAACCTAGACAAGATCGCATCTCACGATCTCCAAATAATCATTAATAAATACTATACAAAAATGTAATTAAATCCAAAATTTATTTTAAAACAATATAAGATATGTATAATTGAATTTCTCAATGGTTGAAGTTTGTACACAAAAACCTTTTTTGACAGTACGAATACCAAAATGTACAGTAGTCAATAATACCAAAATTAATAAAACTGAGCCAAGAACAAACAAAAATGTGTACATTTGTTCGCTTTTTACCCTTCTTTTTTGCACCTTCAATCTTTTTTTCCTAATTTTTTTAGAAGTAAAACATTTCTACTTAACAATTGCACAGGACGCTGAAACTTTGTACATTTAAATAATTTTTTTTTAATGGTTTGTTAAAGTCGTGACGAGTGGTCACGACGACGCTAACAAATTATTAAGCAAAAGGACACTAAAAACACCTTTTTTAAATACGTTCAACAAAATGTCTAAAAAGTAACAAAAATTAATTCCGTAATTATCGTTTATTTAGCAAAACGTGGTCAGGAAAAATTTAAAATTCAGGTTTAACCCTGAAAGGAATCGTGGCACGGTTTGAAACGGTCGTTGAGTTTAAAAAAATTATAAAGTGTGATAAGCTTTGATAAATAAAACATAGTGCAATAAATAAATAATATCTCCGGTATTAAATGCAAGAAGTAATAATTATTCAAATTATCCCCGAATGTAAATTAATTGTCTATATTGAAACCAGGCTCTAACATTGGACGAAGGCCTTTTCCATAATTTACCACTTTCATCTCATCCTAGGCTGATTGGCTAACTAGTAGATAATTATTAATCGGTTTTAAATCAACTAACATCTCCAGTTATTCATTAATTCAATTCCACATTAGTTCTCAACCGCACCATACAGAAAATTTGTAAACGCGCAAATTACTAAATATAATACATGTTTACAAAACATTTTTTTAAATTTGTTGAATTAAGTGAAATAGCTTTAAAAAAAATAAGCTACATTAGCCATTTATTAAAATATTTTGATAAATATATTTATTTACTTACTAGAAGAATGCGCCTGATGCCTGCTCTCTTCGGACGTGCTTCTAAATCCAGCGACAGACTCGAAGGTGTCCGTTGGGCTATTTTTCGAATCCATTTGGTACGGGTCGCTCACACTGTCCCTAGAAATAGTCGTTGTATGTATTAGTTCTTATAATTTCTGTAATATTTGTGCATGTTATGTCCCAATATGCATGCGGTGGAAGAATGAAACTTTAACAGGCTGTATGTGACCAAAGAGCAGTTACCCGAGATCCGGCAGTAAAGCCCAGATAAAACGGGCATTGTATGCCCATGAATAATTGAATCCGATAAAACCTGGAACTGGTCCTAACTTCCGATAATGTTTATATCGATAAAGAATCCCAAGGAATTTGAAAAGGAGAGAGGAAATTAACTTAGATCATATTCGCTTAAGTTAAATCTGAAAAATGGAAAACAAAATCATTTCCAGTATACAGTAATTGACTATATTCAACCTGACATTTGTATTGCAGGAGTAAAATGAAGATTATAATTAATTAATCTTTTTATGTAAGGTCTTGGTTGAAATGAAAAAGCTAATGTCACGAGCGGGATTCGAACCCACGGCCTTCGGCTAAGTACGCCGCTGCTCTAACCACTTGAGCAATCGTGACTTCAATCCACTCGGACATAAACTCCCCATCTCAACCTACCTTTCGAATTTTCCCTCGTTTTTGCTATTTTTCAATTTAATTAATTGAAAGAAGTTATTTGGTCAATCAGACCACTAAGTATAATGGGTATATTATAATGTTAGTAGCAATACATTACAGGCGAACTAAAAGCAAACATTATTACAATCTTCTATTATACCAAAAACACGGCATGTGACTTTTGCCAGCCTAAAGAGCAACAAAAGTTAATAATTTAAACTATAACTATTTTTAAAATTTGTAGTCAACGTTGATAATCCGAATCAATTTAGAATATTGTAATATCACTGAATTTGACAATTCGAGTACGACCAAGACCAAGACTATAAAAACAACTTGATAAAACCAACATATTTGTAAGGCAAAAAAATGGAACTGTAAAATGTATTTCAACGGATAAATGTCAAATAATGTAGATGTAATTTATACAACTTATTTTATGTACATGCTGATGGATCTGATCATACTATATGTTGGGATAACGTTAATTTGAAGAAATGCATATGTTTAAGAGTACAAGACAAAACCGACAAATTAAGATATGAGACAATAAAACAGTTAAATAATTTTACAAAAAGTAATATTAAACTAGTTAAATAATCCACCAAATAAATTCCTGGTTAAGAATAACCACGTCTAGGACAGAGAAACCAATGATAAGAGAAGACGTGAATTAAACCAAGCATAGGTTATAAATAATATATTAATATATATTAGTTTAAAAATCATTCAATTAATTAAGGTTTTAAGTAGAGATAAAAAGTCAGTGTCACGAGCGGGATTCGAACCCACGACCTTCGGCATGAAACGCCGCTACTCTACCCCTTGAGCTATCGTGACTGCGATCTCGGCGGTAGAGTAGCGGCGTATCAAGCTATTATCGGTCATGGGTTCGAATCCCGCATGTAACACTGGCTTTTTTATCTCAACTTAAAACCTTAATTAATTGAATGATATTAATTGGTCAAGCGGACCACGAAAAATAGTGAATTTAATCTAATTACCAATGTTTATAAAAATTTATGCATTTTTGATCTCGTTTAATTTGGTTTACATTAAAATAACATGTTGTAATTGATATAACGACAAAATTACATGTATTTAGTTTGAAATAAACTACAAAAAATATGAGTGTCCTGTTCTGATGCTACCCGACATTAGAAAATGGTGTAATTTTACGAGAAAAACTATGAAATAAATTGTTAATTAAATTTTATGAGCAAAACCGTGTAATAAATTGTTCCAATTTTAGTATATGTACCGCCGAAGCGAGTACAATAAATTGTTAGTTAAATTCATTGTATCAAAAATCGTATTCCGGTGTTTTGATTAATTTTCTACCAAACCATTAAAATTAATTTTTTAAATAAAAACGAATTAATTTTTAATCACAGTTAATTTGGTGTATATTAAAATAAGTATGTTGTAATTAATATAACGACAATAATACATGTAGTTTGAATAAAAATATGAGTGTCCGGTTCTTTTGTCTTCGACTGTACTCGATGCGACCCGACGAAAATCTGGACAGTGGGGATCGCTGAGCGTCGGGTAGGTTAGCGTGGCATAGCATCGGGTAGATGTGCACGGGGGTAATGCAATCTTATGGAGTTTGGATTTGCGTCGGGTAGTATCGGGTAAGTGTGTTTCTGGCTTTAGGCTGGTCCCAACATACTTCCAACCTGAAGTTCCGCCTGAAAATGGGCTAAAGTTGTAGCTGAAAAATATTTATCACTGGACATCAGGACAGGTATGAGGTAAGCTAAGGGGTTAAATCTTTCAAAAAGTAAGACGAACTTGTTCCTTTCTCTCAGGAAGCAAAAGTTAAAAAAAAATATAGTCGCCTATACTGCTCATTAATTTTTAGGCCCTGTTAACTACCATCTACAGAAGATATGCAAAGCAGACAGTGTCAGGGGAACCAGAGAAATTCTCATGATTGATTTTTCCACCCCATGTGAATGTAAAGTGCTAGCTTAAAACAGTATAGCCAGTTTGCTTAATCGACACCACCTCAAAAGAATCATGGTTAACTTACAAATTTACGTTATACATCTTAACACGTTACTGATAGTCAGACAGCAGTCTGACAAACATAAAAATTATGTAACTCAAAAAGTGATCTTATCTTTGGATTTTTAAAAGAGCAAGAAACAACCTTCACGTTGTTAACTGACAAGCAACAACCGTGTGCAAGCAAGAGAGGGTGAAAAACAAACACTCTTAATTTTATCTAATTAAAAATTTACTTTTTTTGTCTTGACGAACATTAGTACTTGATAATTTATTGGGTGAATTATGATCTTATAATTTTTATTACATACTGAACAGAAACTTTTCATAAGTGCTCCAAAGACATTGAATTATATTTATTGTACTTTAATTAAATTAAAAGATACACACAGCTTGGCACTGTCACAGAGGAGAAATCTGCCCTGTGGAAAGAGGGCTTCTCTCAGGAATTCAGATATTGCCCTTTGTTTTCCAGAGGAATGTCTATTAAAGCTTGCCCAATCTCAGAGAATGGAGCATTCTTATTTTGAACGTACTTGTCATTCCTCCACCCCTCTTTGCTCGTTTTGTTTTTAAATAGCTATGCTAAATATGTTTACCGCATATTTGAAAAGTGGCGCCTGGTGTTGAAAAATGCTGAACTTTTACTTTTGTTAAAAGACTAGCGGGAAAATGTTTAATTAACTTAGTATACAGAGTGTTAGTTTTATGTGGCACGGCTGAAAAAACATACGTGAAGAACACACCACAAAGAAGTTCACACCAAACATTTATATTGTCAACCACCTGATGATGATGAGAAATTCTCGGTTTTTTTCTCTGCCCACGTTCGGAATTCCAACGGTTTAGTATTCCGTTAGAGGTTAGGGCTGGTTAGGATTTGGATTCATCAGCCCATAGGATATATGGAAGATGGTTTTCTTCAGCCTCCCAAATCGACATTTGTGCCAGGAACGTTAAACGCCTGTCATAATCAGAGTCCGGAATTCCCTGGACAAGATGAGAGCGATACGGCTTAAAATTGTAAGTTTGGAAAAAACTAAAATCCTTCCAACATTTCGGCAAGAGGAATTTGGATTTTCGCGGACATACGGTAAAATATTCAGTTCATCGTCGAAATTATGTTGCCGGTTTCTTGGTGATGGAACTCGAATAAACGTTTTGTAGTTTACTCTGAAAATGGAAATTTCTGGGAGTACAACCAGACTGCACGACGCGCAATACAACCACTATCAACAATGTAGTCGTACATTTCAACTCGCTCTTGATCGGAAAAATGTGCTCTTCGGTCCCTTTTGAGGGGAATGCTGAATGTAACGAATACATACTATTGTAAAATTTATTTACCTCCAGCAATTTGCTCTCAGCCTGATTATCCTTTCAGGATTATATAGACGGGGATAATTGGGGAAAGGAAAGGCAAATTGTTGAAGAATTAGTCTATATAGAAATGTTTGATGTGTGGACTGTGATGATTGTTTTATATGTTATATTATATGTTTTGTGTGATGATGATGTATGATGTGATGATATACATCATCACATCTTATCACATATTTTTTTAAATATTTTAATTTAATTAAAATTTTCTACCAATGTATAAATTCATTTTTTTCACATCCTACATGTATTTGTAAAATTCAAACTATGTTTATAATTCCCAGGCGCTTAAGATGATCTCAATAAAGGTCGAAACGTTGGCATGATTAAAGAAAATGTTTTTCTAGAACCTACGTCGCACCAGACCAAACCTTACGATCTCCAAATAATCATTGGCTAACGGTCACTAAACACCACACATTGACAACAATTCTTGATAGTTACAATTAATTAAGGTTTTTAGTTGAGATGAAAAAAAGTCAATGGTACGAGCGGGATTCGAACCCACGATCTTCGACTAGATACGCCGCTGCTCTACCACTTGAGCTATCGTGACCTCGATCCACTCGGACATCAACTTCCTATCCCCACCCCACCTTATGAGTTTTCCCTCCTTTTTGCCATTTTTCAAATGTCGTGTAATCGGATTGGATTCTCGACGAAAATTGAAATGGCCACGGAGAGCTTTAGTGAAGTGTACTTCATATTGACTGGGAGTTCATATTGGGTGGGGTTGAGATGGGAAGTTGATGTCCGAGTGGATCGTGGTCACGATAGCTCAAGTGGTAGAGCATCGGCGTATCTAGCCGAAGGTCGTGGTTCGAATCCCGCTCGTACCATTGACTTTTTTATCTCAACTAAAAACCTTAATTAATTATAATATATTAATTGGTCAAGCGGACCACAAAATTAGTGAATTCTTGATAGTATTCTGCCGGATTACGTGGTATATATGAAATTATCAATGCTTGAAAAATGTAGAGCGTTACACGTTTACTAGAAATTACTACGCAATGACTGTAAGAAAACATTTAAGATCTTTAACTTTGTAATGAGTTAAGCTTCATAAACACACCATTTTGGGTATTTGTGAAAATCCTTGAGAGTATTTTTTTATACTTAAATTATTAATAACTTGAAACAATGTACGTATCTATAAATAGTTGAATGACATTTTATCCATAGGATTTTTTTTACACAATGGCTATAATTGAACTTTTGGTAAAAGTTTAACACAACTACCAGGTTCAGCGAGAAACAAACAGTAGAAAGAAATAAATGTTGTTTTTATAGTATTGACTTTAACGGGGATTTGAATTATAAAGGTTTCGCTCGTTTGAACTCAGGACAGGTGGAATTTGTTATGTGGTTTCGAGCGGTTACAAATGGTGGAGAAAGAGGCTTGGGTAAACAGAGGGAAACAATTTGGACAAATCCCGAAAAGCTGACAAATGCCCAGTCCTGGGATGGTAATATTGTCTCAGAGGCTAGTGCATCACTCACTTGTCACTATAACTACAATCCTCCAATCCAGCACATCCATGAATAAAGGCCGGCACGTTCCGTCATACTGTTTTCCCGCCTGCGTTCGTGCTATTGTTCAAATTTGAAACAGTGAACACATTTAGGTTTCATTGAAAACACTCACCCATTGGAATGAAACTTCTTATATGTTCGGAGAATTGATTCCCTTTTTACGAGTTTCATCGAAACTTTATGGGTTGACCTTTAGTCTCAGATATTGTTCATGAACAAAAACAAATACATTTCAATCGATGAAACATCGGATATATCTCTGACCTAAAAAGATTTTATCGAAATAGAAAATAGAACCACATATTGTGCGAATCCCCTTGTGGTCGGTCATATGAACTCAAATGTTAAGGGTAGTACCAAATAGAACATCTTCTAAAAGAATTTTTGCAGCAATATTTCGTTAAAAACGTGTTTTTGTCAAATTAAATATTCATATTGTTCTTTAAACAATTTGCATACTCATCCTGGTTCATGTTTACGTTAATTTTTATGAAAATTTAAATTAAAACTCGAGAATTTTCTTCCATTATCTTCATTCCATCAATTATAAAAATATAATAATAAAGCACACTCTGTCTATTCTAATATTCTGTTTAATAACAAAGATGAAGCCAGGCTTGATAAAAAAAAAAAAAGATTAATTATTCAAACCAAGTATATTTTTAAAGTTTTTATGATCATTTGCTGAAAAGGGAGGAGTTTTGAAACATTGTAATTTCATGTTTGTTTCAAATGTTTTGTTCCAAACAATAAATCTAAATAAAATACCAAATAAAAATAAAAATAGTTCGATTTTAATATTTATAAATTCATAATTTTTACATTCAAAATATTAACAAATTAATATATAATTACTTAGGTGCTTATTAAAATTTTTTTTCAAGTAGTTGAATTATTTTGTAAATACTTCTTTCCTAAAAAGTACAATTTGACACACAAATTTATGTGAAACTTGGAAATAATTATTTTTGAAAAACTTGAATTTCGTGAAAATGTATAATAATATAATATAGTTTTTATGATCATTTCCTGAAAATGGAGGAGTTTTGAAACTTGTAATTTCCTGTTTGTTTCAAACACTATTCCAAAAAATAAATCTCAATAAAATGCCAAATTAAAATAAAAAGAGTTCGATTTTAATGTTTATAAATCCATAATTTTTACATTCAAAATATTAACTAATTAATATTTAATTACTATGATGCTTATTAAAATTTTTTTTTTCAAGTAGTTGAATGTATTTTGTAAATACCTATTTCCTATAAAGTACAATCAAACCCTCAAATTTATGTGAAACTTGGAGGTAATTTATTGAGAAGAACTCGAATTTCATGAAAAAGTATGATGATACAACAAAACAAGTTTATTATTGAAAAGTAAATTATTTTTGTTCCAATTTGTGTAATTAAAAAGAATTTATATGAATATATAGATTTTTCATTATTGTAACGGTTTTTTAGTTAATACACCTAAGTCTAGTTTAATATCCGTTAAAATAACGAAGAAAAAATGAAAAAAATTATGTAATTTGATTGTTAACGATAATTTTTGGCATGCATATTCTTGCTGGCTGGTCTGCAGACGTGTGTCGACATTCCGCCATCATCAGTGTGTTCATGGCTGATCGAAACGATCAAATTACAGATTTACCGCCTCGCGCAAAAGCATAATCTTAAATAATCCTACGATATAATTATTGACAGCTTTCAATAATTATAATTCAAAATCCATTAATTAAAATTTCCTTCAGTAAAAGACATAATAATTACTAATAAATTTTTATGCAATTTGTAATAAAAATGCTAGGGAATGTAAGTACTACAAAACTGGCAATATCCCAATATATGTTTGAACAGTTTAGTGATTTAAATTAACTACCATATTCTGAGTAAAAAGTTTAGTGTTAAATCTGATATTTTTTAGTGTCTTTAATGAGTGTATTCTGGGAGACCTTAGTTTAAGATAGCAGTTCGTTGTTCCACCCCAAACGATTATACCGTAAATCAAAATAGATTGTGCCATTGCAAAATAAACTGATTTCATTTGATTTATGGCCAAAAATTTCTCAACACCCGAAATTCATTTTATTATTAAAAAGTTTATTATTAAAAAGTAAATTAATTTTAGTAGATATTTGGTTTTGGTCTGCGAGTCGGTGAACTCATATTGAACCGGCACACGGCCACTACTGGGTCTGTCTTCACTCGCGGGTTTTTTGTTTGAGTTATTCAAACGCGTTTCAAAAGCGTGAGATAGTTTCTCACTGAAGATGGTGCAATGCTGAAACGTGTTTGAGTAAAAACAAAAAAACCCGCGAGTGAAGTACCCAGTAGTAGCCGTGTGCCGGTTCAACATTCAATTGTGTAATTAAAAAGAATTTATATTAATATAATGAGTTTTTATTATTGAATAGGCTTTTTAGTTAATACACCTAAATCTGAGTTAATATCCGTTAAAATAACGAAGAAAAAATGAAAAATAAGTTAAATAATTTTAATTATTCAGAAATCGTGAGATGCGGTCTGGTGTGATGTAGCACATTTTCTTTATTGTGCCAACGTTTCGATCTTTATTGAGATCATCTTCAGGGCTCAAAGTGTTTGTCTTCTGTGTAATTGTGCCATTCTTGCGTGTCGTGTTGAGAGTGCCCACCCAGTTATAATTTTTCAATTGGTTGAGATAAAAAAGCCAGCGTCACAAGCGGGACTCGAACCCACGACCCTCGGCCAAACACGCCGCCACTCCACCATTTGAGCCATCGTGACTTCGATCCGCTCGGACACTAACTTCCCATCTCAAATTTATCATTGAATCAGATAGATTACACATTTGAAAAATGGCAAAAAGGAGGGAAAATTCGAGAGGTGAGGTTGAGATGGGAAGTTAGTGTCCGAGCGGATCAAAGTCACGATGGCTCAAGGGGTGGATTGGCCGAGGGTCATGGGTTCGAGTCCCGCTCGTGATGCTGACTTTTTTGTATCTCAACCAATACCTTTCATAAATATTAATTAATTGAAAAATGTTAATGGTCAATCGGACCACGAACTGTAATGGCTTTAATAATTATAATATTCAATGATAATAATAAGGTCGTGGGTTAGAATCCCGCTCGTGACACTAACATAAAAAGAATAATTAATCGAAAGAAGTAATTTGGTCAATAGACCACTAAACATAATTGATTTAATAATAATAAGTGTAATTCAAAATCCCTTAATTAAATTTTCCTTCAGTAAAAAACATAATTATTGCTAGTAAATTTTAATGCAATTTGTAATAAAAATGATAGGGAATGTAAGTACCATAAAATTGGCAATATCCTTATTCAGTTTTGAGCAGTTTAGTTTTTATAAGAAAATTATATTTGCGTTAATGTTAAACTAACAACGTTAGGGTGTAGAGCATTTAATAACTTCACCAGTACATTATAGGTTTCTTTTTTCTTTTTTTTAACGAGGGTATGTCAACTACGAAGTTATATGAATCCTCGGTGTGCCGATATTTTTGAAAAAAAAAGCCTATTTGTAAGTATGTCAGTTTCGAATGCAGGCCCGCTGGATTCGAACCCGGGACCTTTACCTTACGGTGATGAGAGCCGCGTCAACGCCTAAACCGATGCGGCCACCGACGCCGCACATTCTAAGTTTAAATGACTAAGCTGCACGTTGGAGCCGTTTGAAAAAGGCCGGGATGGTGACGATCGGGGCGGTGTTATCGATAGGCGGACACCACCTCGGAACGGGTCGATAATTGCGGGCATGTGACTTCAGTTGTAAGTTGTAACCGTGTCAGGGGGCCAACCTTCGCGATTTGTTTTGGCCCGAGGGCTCCAGCTTCAGGTGAAGATGTCCAGGGCGACGAAGAGGAAGCACGTCACCAAGGAGTGGCTCACGCAGGAGTTCAGACTCCCGAAAGATGGAGAGACGATCGTCCGCCACTGCGAGAGCCGGGGCAACAACCTCCACTGCGTCGTCGACAAAGACGGCGAGTCCTTCCTCGTCTCCATGCCGAACAAGTTCAGGCGGAGTCTCTGGGTGAAACGGGGCCAGTTCCTCCTCATAGACCCGATCAAAGAAGGGGACAAAGTGAAAGGAGAGATCGTGACCATCATCGACCAGCCGTTCAGGCGGTTCCTCGAGACGAACAACGTCTGGCCGGCCACGTTCCGGGCGGAGGGGGCCGTCGACGACACCACCAGCGAGGATGAGGACGACGTCGAAGGTGCTGTCGCCGCCCCCGGATCGCCGAGGCTATACCAAAACACGAATCGACGCAATTTCCATTTTCTCAACTCGTCGTCAGAAGATTCTGAGTGAACGATACTTCGAACTTATAATCAAATTTTGTATATTTTTGTATAATACATTTTTCCCTTTTCATCATTTGAGTGCCTTTGTTTTCAGAACAACCTCTATCGTCCTAATGCGATGCGAGCATGTCGTACGAATGGCTGTGCCATATCGCTACGTTCTGAATATTAACGAAATTTTCTTAATATTTATAGTGACCGAGAGTTTAGGTGGCCCAGATAAAAACCAGTGTTATGTGTGGAGCTGATGGTCGAGTTTCAGGTCCGATAGTCATCAGTAGTCTATGAATTGAGAAATCCATATCAGGGCCACGAAAATTCTCGGTCATTAAACTGGTGACCCTGACATGATCAGGCGACAGCCGGAGATCTCAACAATATTTAATTCATTCCAAATTGCCAAGAGTAAAGTTGAAAATCAAAATTGTTCAAATGTTAAAACATTTTCACCAGTTTAAATTTAAAAGAATATATTTGGTTTACAAAAAACATTTACAAATTGACAAAAATATGTGTAATGTAAATTATATGTAGTTTGTACATAAGTTTATTTTTTAAATTCCTTTGAAATCAGCATTTCCTTTTTAAATGTACATTTATATAAATTATAATTATATAAAGCAAGCATTTAAGAAAAGAAAACGTTCGTTGACGAAAATTTATTAACTAAAAATATACGTGTAGCTACTTAGGGAAAACTACATTTAAGATAATTTGTATCAAAATATTTTTATTTTTATTTATTTCATAGAATAGTGAATGTTGGAACTTATATGGGTGCTTATTTACTGAAATGGAGGTATTGCTATTACAAATATTCACAGTGCATTATTATATTAATATTAAAATGTGTATAATTTTTGTAAAATATAATTTCATTTTTATTATACTGAATGATTTTTTTACACCATCATTTCATATATTGCTATAAAATAATTTTAAAATGTTAATTGCAGGTGTAACATTTAGTTACATTTGTCTTATTTCATTTATTATATATAAGTTAAATAGTTTCTTTTGACGAAAGCATTTTTAAAAACTTTTATTCAAAGAAATAACCCGTTATTACTGGTATACCTTCAGTTATTTATAATCGAGGAATCTAAATCATATTTCTCTGATATGCCCTCAGGAAATCTAACTGAAGACTGTCAACTTAGTTAACTCAAAATTATTACAAAATCTCAAGTGGGAAAGAGGGCTGATGACAATTCTAGGAACAACCCCTGCATCCTCGCATTGTAATCACATTATTTCTTTAATAATATAATTCCACTAATATATCTTTCATATATAAAAAATGAGTTATCAAGAATGGCAAATTTCCAGTTTTTCAGTCAGACAGTTGAAGAAAAATTGATGTCACGAGCAAGAATCGAACCCACGACCTTTGGCTTCAGCATAAGCATAAAAAATTGGAAATAAATAATTAATGATAAACAGATAACTAATTAAACAAGAATGGCAAAGATACTGGACTGAATTGACTGAAAAATTAAAAAATATAAAACATTCAGTTAAACCATGGCCTGTGGAGAAAATGAAAAAAGAGAAAGATTTATCTTAGCAAGGCTTAGGATAGGCCATACTTGTCTCATACATGGACATCTATTGGTTGGCTATCAACAACAGCTTCCCCATGTAATGAGGCATGATCCGGTGAGTCTGTCACCTACTAGTAGACTGTGGTGCTTTGCAGATCCATAGAGAATGGTGTGGCCTACCTCAGATGAACAAAATTTCTTAAGGCATAGCAATGATTTTACAGAAAAATTATTTGAATATCTGAAAGTGGCAAATATATAATCTCATTTAATTTGCTTCTTCATGTATTTCATGCCAATTACGGATGTGTGTATTTATTAGTGACAATATCGGTGATGGATGAGTGTGAATAAAAACTTGTCTTCTTGACGAAATATTGAAATACCACAACGGCCTGTTACCTAGTTTGCAGTTATTGCTGTCTAGGAATGAGGCCATAGGCGGAATATTGGTACCCTGATGGTCCCTTATAAGTTTGTTATTGTAAATAGCTTACTATATAGTGTGAAAGATTAATGAATATCTGTATTTATCTGCAAGAATGAAACGGTTGTATGGGTGTGTATGGTGTTTATAAGCTATAGATTTTGTGAGAATGACGATGGGTTAACATCATAAAAAATTTAAAAAAGGAGAATAATGCAAAAGAGTGAGAAAAACATAATGAGAGCCAATTGTGACCTTGCTGTTTGTCAGTTTAAAAAATAACAAATCTGTATATCGCGTACATTTAATGGTACCCCTAGAAGAATAGGCCATGCGAGGTTGTCACACACTTTACTTTTTGGTTAGAGCAAAAGAAAAAGAGTAGGTTGATATTCCACTTAATGGAAAGCTTGATAGCTTTTCGTGGCTTCGTATAGAGAGCGTATAGGAACACTGCATAATATGAGAATTGTGCTTGATCTTGGCAGCGAGTATTTGGGTTCCCTATTCTGATTTTTAGAGGAAACAGGAATGTTGCACTGTGTTCAGTACTTTATTGTTGAAGCTGGGTGTTGGTCTGCGAGTCAGTGAACCCATACTGAACCGACATGGGTCATTTATAGGGTCTGTCTTAACTCATGGATTTGTTGTGGTGCCTCAATAAGTGATCCAAGTCCATAGCGTGAATGTGTAAGCTGATCGCAGAATATTGAGTACCCTATCAACCCTCAATTAGGTTATTAACAGAATATGTGTAGAGGGTGATAGAGGTTTATCTAGTACTCCATCTTAACAGTGGACTGTATATAAATAGGAAAGATGTACTTAAGAGTGAGTAGGTTTGGATTTTGAAACTTATTGAGCCCTGACTGCCAACACCTGAGGTGAGTGATTTTTGAGGCCTGCCATTAATTTATTGTTAATTTCACAAAAGCTGGAACTGCCATATAGGCTCTTCTCTGTACAACGTGCAGGAAGCCTACCCATTGGCAACCGACGGGTTGAATCCAATTGAATCGGTCATTTTTCAAATCAATTTATTTCTTTTGCATATGAAAAAAGAATGTACCAATCGTATCAAGCAATGCATTGTTCTGCAAACCAAAATTCATGATTTTCCTAATCGAATTTTCCTTTTTATGAGTAAACTTTCCAATTTTACAAAACAAAATGATCTTTGTCAAAATTCATTCATCTACTAAATTTATTGTTTTACATATCAAATACAACCTTTGTAGATGAGAATCATGCTTTCGCGAGTTAAACATATTGTTTTGCAAAAACATTTTGTACATCAAATTCTTCTTTTCTTGTAATATCTTTCACCAATTTTCTAAACAAATTCATTATTTTAAATGTCAAATACGTCCTTCGCAAACAAAATTCACCCATTTTCAAATCAAACATGTTTTGCAAATCAAAATCGTCCATTTCCAAATCAAGTTCATCCACTTTTGCTGTCATTATTTCACATGTTAAAATTTTATGCTTTTTAGTTTTAGTTTACATTTTTACCTATTATAATAGATAGATTGCAAAAATTATATTGTTTGGGTTTAGAAAAAAAAAGATAAATGTTTTTTAAATAAACAAAATTTGAAATCTACAGTAATTTTAGAAAATAATTATTTTTTTGAGAATAAACCCCAAAATTTTGCATTTCAAACACAAAATTACCCTTTTTCATGTTAAATAGATTATTCAGAAATCGTGAGACATATCACGATTTCTGAATAATCATCGACTAACGGTCACTAACCACCACACATTAAATAGATTATTTGACAAATCAAATTTGCCTTTTTACTAATTACATTCATCATTTTATAACAAGTTTCATTGAAATCTTTAATATTGCTTCAATCAAAGATTTGAAAATCGAATTTTAGATATCACATGCATTCTTTCCAAAACCGAAACTACCCTTTTGCAAGTCAAATAATCTCTTTTAGATAATTAAAGCATTGAATTTTTAGGGAAAACATTTTACAAAAATATTTTGGCAACTCCTAGTATATACGCATACTATACGCATCTAAGAGTTGATTTTTTAAACATTTTTACTTTTTTATACAAAACTTTTTCTGCTTAGAAATGCAAACATCAAACCATTATCATCTGTAATTTGGTTATCTCAAATCATCTTGTTCCGTCAGGTTCAGAGGCAATGATGGTAAAATGACAAAATGCATCTGACAGATTAAATTATTGAGGATAATCAGATCGGTAGACCACAACACTATAAATTCATTGCCTTACTGGCCTAAACAATAAATCTATCAATCCAATTGGGGAGAAAGAATAAAGAAAATGTAATTATTTTGATCTCAATACGAAACTAATGTTAGCTCAAATAACCCTAAAGCAAAGATAATATGTTTCAACAAAATATTTGCTTAAGGGGCGTCGGAGGCAACGACGGTGGCAACATTGTGAACATTGACATGAGAACTCATCACAGTAGTTAAAAGTGAGGCTTTTTTTAAATAAAAAATTAAAAAAATAAAATATTTGCTTTGTGATTTGTCATATAATCATTTTTTTGAGAAATTTCATCTTTAGTATGCAAAGAGATGAACCTGGAACCTACTATAATTTGTCAGACACATTTTGCCTTTTTTCCAGCATAAGTGATATGAGAATTTTAGAAAAACACTTTTTCATTTTTTTGCTGATGTTTCAACCTTTATCCAGGTCATCTTCAGGGCTTGGGTGAATTACAAAAAAAAAGTTGATTAGAAAAAATAATTATACAATGCAGATGTAAATAATATAAATTTTGAACCAAGTTCATACTCACATAAACTGCTGTGAAGATGACCCGAAAAAGGTCGAAACTCAGCAAAAAATGAAAAAGTACAATCAGTATGTGCTGATTGTTTTGTTCTTTCCAGTTAATAAAACATATAATTGTGTAATGGTTTATGTTAAAATTAAAATAAATTTAACTGAAAAACCTTTTCTTTTGGCCATGCATTATGTTGTATAAATCAATATTTAATTTATATTTTCAAACTTATTGATATTTAGTTTTAATTGTCTTTATTTTTACTTTGTGGCAGACAGATTGTGATCCACACCTGTACAATGCTCTGCTAATAATCATTGTTGTATTCGTAGCAATAAAAAGGATAAATAATTTTTTTTTTAATTTACTTGGTATTAAATTAAATTGTGCAAAGAAAGTTGAGATGAAAAGTTAGTATCATGTGCAGGACTCAAACCCATGGCTTTCGGATAGATAAATCTTTTCACTAATTAAAATTTTAAATAATGTTTTGGCTGCTGTGAAGAAGACTAATCACATTGAAACTGTATTTTTGTAAACTATCTTTTATGTGTGACCCCCCCTCTAATTTTTCCTCATAAAGAATATGGAATAAAATAGTATGACAATTTTGATTCTTAAGAAAAGTCATTATAGAATTTGTTTTTGAATATAGTACTATAAAAAGTAAATTTACAAAACTGGAAATCTAATTATCTAGCTATATTTGTAAAATTTATAAAATGCATGAACTACACTATGCCTTTTGTCTACGAGCTTTTCTAAAACTTATCTAAGAATCTGCAAATAATCCAATCTGCCGAACTTAACAAAATTGTAAATAATAGAACAACGCAAATCAAAAATAAATTTATAAATCAATTAATTAAGCTGCAAAGCAAGGGGCTGTCGAATGAATGTACAGAAGCCGTTGATATTTTCTATTATAAGAACATCTGCAATCGTACACTTCATATTGAAGATCAATTATTCAAATAATATATCAGCGGCCTCCATAAAAATTCTTACCTTGTGGGTCAACTGCCTGTTTTACTTTGTACAACTTGTGAATGGAAAACGGCAAAAATTTCAACAAAATAGCATAAAAAGCAGCTTTTACCTATAATCGCCATCATAGACGTACCCAGACTCTTGATAATTGTCATCAAAGGAATCACCGGGCGAATAAGGTGGCCTTCGCAGCATCAGCATTTTAGGCATATAAAGGAGAAAAATTTTCTTAACCCAAGGTTTCATTTCATGAGTTGAAGGCGATCTAAAAATGTAAAAAATGTAAAACATTATAAAGAGTGGAGGAACATTTTTTTTTAATACCTGAAGTGAACATTGAGTACACAAACTGTCACCGTTATTGATAAAGTTACAATTGTCATTGTAAAGAGTAGATATTTTCCTAAAAGCGGTACTGCCAGTGACGTTGGAGGAATTATTTCAGCGAGCAGCAAAAAGAACACAGTGAGGGATACAAGAATTGAACTGCACAGTGTGACTTTTTCGCCAGAATCAGACGGAAGATAAAATACAAGTACTGTCAAAAAAGTGATGCCAACACAAGGGATGATTAGGTTGACAGTGTAAAACAAGGTTTTCCTTCTCATTGTCAAATTAAAAGTTATATCTGTAACGTAAAACATATTTCTATTAATGAATTTGTTTTTCAAGGTTATTTGATCATTTTTAACCTGAATATGGTTCATCACAGCAAGGATAATACTCTTCATTTCTAGTAGCGGGTACAGCTAGTATATCCCACTCTACAGACAGATAAAATTCTGTCAGATCAATTCCTACATCTACAAAGTTTGACCCTGGAACCTGGTCCATATGCTTAAGATCAACCTTAAAAATGATTATAAAAATTATGCAAAAACTTTTTAAACAAAAACAGAATTTGGAACATTGGGTGAACATGTTTAGCAATTTATTAGATTTTTATATATAAATAAAAGTAGTCAATACATCTAACATTTTAAGTACTACTTTTTTACTCATGAATAAACTGGATTTTCTTATGGTCTGGATGAAAAATAAATTGTTATCTGCCAAGCTTTCATCCTATTTTAAGATCACCATCAAAGCAAACAATCTTAAAGATATTAAAACAATTTGTAGCCATCTTAAGACCTTAAAATAGATTGAAAGTTTAGCAGATAACAATTGAATTTTTTTTTAAGCCAGGCCATATTGAGGTTTCAGATTATTTTTCACAAAATCATTTAATGTGTATTCCTTACCTCTATTATGTACAAAAGTTAACATTTATAAACTTGCAAAACTACTCTGTGTCTGACATGAGAATGTGTAATTTGGTCGTTACCGATTATCCTGGTCTGTCTATCCTCATTGTGTTGGTATGTCAGGTGCGTTTAAGCATTAAGCCACAGTGAGAATAGGCAGACCAGGATGGTCATTACAAAATTACATATTTATAAAAATCAACTGGTGTAAAAACTTTTAATTAAAATCCTATTTGAAATAAAGGCATTATTAATCCAACTTAAGTATAAACAATTAATAAAAACTTACGTATGTCTGTGTATAATTACCTGAACTCCATTGTAAGTCCATGAGCCAAATTTCATGGTGCAACTTTGCTCGTCAAAAGGAAAGTAAAGAACGTTGATCTCACATGATGATTTGTAAATGGCAGGAGGTCGCCATAATACCTCTCCTGTGTATTTTAATGTCGCTTTTGTCATTAATGTTACTTCATAGTTTCCATCAGCACTGTAGTAAATTATTTAGCAGAATAAATAAATTTAAGTTTTTAGTTTTATGTTTGTAATGTCTCACTTATTGTAAAGGACGATATCGGGAAGCCAAATATGCTCTGACGGTACATAAAGCATTTCAACACCGCCATATTCTTCAGGCTCCCAGCGAAGTTTGTAATCGACCCATTTCTGAGAAACAAGAACGATCGAGTAAGATTTAAAAATTTTGATCAAACATTTAATAAATCATACACACCTGCTCAACCCAAAGGTTTGTAGTCATGACTTGATTTTTTAAATTCTGTAAACAGACATGGATTATTGTGTACACCTTGATTTCTAAATAAAAACTGATGTAAACAAATGAAACTTACCATCTCAAGAAGTTGTGACATTTTAAGCCTAAGATAAACAGTAAGCGTTTCGGTGTTGTTGCTTACTGGCCTGATTAGTCTGTTGTAATTGCTTAACAGGTCATCGTACAACCGTTTAGCATCAGGATTTGCTTCAATTTGTTTCACTCCTAAAATTAAAAATCAACCTTTTACATATTAATTTAAGGAAATAATTAAAACAAATCTCTTTACCATTTAAATAATAATGGTAACTGGCACTAAGAATATATATTAATAATAACAAAAAGATCTCATAAAAACATTAAGGGTGCATGGGACTACAATGTTTAAAAAAACTAACATTTAATTTCCCAAAACTTAAAAAATAGTTTGTTCATTATTGATTATTTTGGACCTGCCAATCATCATTGGGTAGTACCACAAAATACTGAAACATGTCTGGCCAAACCCAATAAGGAAAGTCTGACCAAAAGGACTGGTGACAACTAAATTACAGGTTCATCACTGCACAGATCACAGAGAGAAATTCCACGATTAAAAAATCTATAATTTTAAAATTGTACTGATTCTTTTTTTTAAATTCTAGAATTTTTAAAAATCTAGCCTTCCAAAATGCCAGAACAAACAGAAAAAATTGCAAGTTCATCACCCCACAGACCACAGAGATATTTGACGATTTAATATATACCTTTTAAATTGTATCATTTATGTAAATCTTTTACAATGTATTTTCAGTTAAACCAGTCATTCATAGTCATGTTTCATTTTTGATTCAAACCACAAACAATAAACCCCAAAAGTAAATTTTATTTTGAATCAGAAATTTTACAAATTACAAGGAATATCTTGCATGCAGCAATTTAATTTTTTTTTTTTTATTCTGAAGTCTTCTAACATGCCATAACAAACAGAATGATGTAATTTGGTGATTATCGACCATCCTGATCTGCTGATCCTTGCTGTGTTCATCTGTCAGGAGTATTTCGACCTTTGCCATCTTCAGTATTTGGTCTGTGTAATCTCTGTCAGTCTTTTGTAAGTCTCTTTATCTGCATCTGGCAGACCATTACATATGGACTGGGATGATCAGTAACGACTAATTACATGTTCATTACACCACAAACCATACAGGAATGTGACAATTTAAAGAAACATAAATCTTTAAAATTGTATCATTTATCTAAATTTTTTACAATATATTTCCAGTTATATCTGCCATTCATAGGGATATTTAATTTTTGTTTAAAACAACAAAACATAAACACAAGTTTTTTTTATTATAATTAATTTTTTTTAATAGAAATTGTTACAACAAATGAGGAATTTCGTACATGAAACAATTTAATTACAATATAAAAAATCTAAACTCTAATAAAGTATCAGAACAGCAGTAATGATGTAATTTGATTATTACTGATCATTGTGGTCTGACCACATCGAGGTTCCTTATCCACCTGGATATTTGGTGACCAAATTACATCACTCCATTCATCCAAATTCATCACTTGACAGACCACAAAATGAATTATATTAACAATTTTGGTTTAAACAAATTTTAAATATTAAAATTTGTAACTATTGACTATTATTTGCTCAGTATCTTTTTTTAAGATATTTTGTGACCAAATTACACATTCATCACACCACAGACTGCAAAAATAATTATATTCACCACTTTGGTATAAACAAATTTTAAATATTAAAATTCGTAATTGTTGACTTATTTAACCAATACTTTTTCTTTATAATATTTGTTGCTGAGTGTTAGTAGCTGCAGTATTTTTCTTCTTCTTTTATTTAAATTATGCAGTGAAGAAAAATTGCAAAATTACCAATTAAAACAGTTATAATACAAAATAATATAAAAACTCGCGGGCCACCAGAACAACATAATTTTTCTTATTCAAACAAAAATTTAGAAAAATTATACGTTTATTTATTCTATTTTCGTTTAAAAAAAGTAATAACAATATTTTCGGCAAAAATTCCAAGTTTCAACATTAAACAACGTATACATAGTAAATGTTCAAAACTTTCTTGTGTTTTATTTTTATTTTTAAAACTTATGGAATACTTTTCCGTTAAATCACATTTTTGTCATTGCTATTGTTTTACTCAATATTCTTAAGAGATATATAAAAAGTCAGAAAGCACAATTATTACGAATTATCGAACTAGTAAAAATCAATTAGCTGAACTTTTAAAACATATAAATTAATTTTAAATTTTGTCAAACATTGTAATATTTTGTAAATCTTGCAATAATATTTTAACTACATCGTGCCTTTATCTAAGTAAAAATGTTGATTTATGCATAATGCACATGTATAATTTGAAATATACTTATGTAGATAATACAAGCAAAATAAAATTTTAAGTTTGTTGTCAATTCAAATTTGTAAATATTACACTAAGTTTTCATTTTCTAATAATAAATTTTAAGGGGTATAGCTGACGAAATGGTCGTATATTTGCATAAAAACATTCCACGTTTTGATAAGTTAACAAATGTCCAAAATATCCGTTATATTTAACTGATAATAACTCAACCGTCATATCTGTCGGCCGCTGAGGCGTGTCTGTGGACATACTGACCTGCCAAAGACGGTGTCACCAACGAGACGATCAACGTTAACACGGCTAGCAACATGGTGCAATTTGATGACTGGGTTAAATTCAAGATAGCACAGAAACTTATTAAAATTTGTTGCGTTTCTCTCAAACGATTCCAACAGCTGGGATGTGAAGCATCCCTGTACCAAATCAATAGGGGTCAGGGCGCAGTCGTGAATTTCATCTTTAAAACCGTCATACGTTTCAAATATAAATTTCGCGAAGTTTGTAACAACATTTTTATGACCTATTAAAACTGAAAGATCTTATGAAATTAATTAGTAGATAGATTTTAAGGAATGTAAAATGATGACGTCTTAGTGTCAATTTAAAACAAAAATTCTTAATTCATAATAAATTTTACTTCCGTTGTGTTCCCAACTTTCTTGAAACTTTAAAAAGTTTAAATAGTCCAGAAAATCGGAAAGATGGAAGAATACCTACTGCTTACTAAGTTACTTCCTTCTATCTTACCGCTTCTTATTGCTTTTATCTACTTGAAACGACTTCATAGTCGTCAAACAATCAAAAGTTTCAAAGGTCACATGAAAAATTTGACTTATAGATCTGGTCTGGCAGACCAATTACCACATTTAACGATTTGCCCTTAATCCCTTGATCAAGAAAAACGTTAAAAACAAAAACAACGAAAATGTTAATGAAATCTGAGTTTTTTATTTTAACGATGAGCTGGGCTATCGACCTGCTGGAAACGAAGTTTTTCGGAGGATCTACGGAAGAGGTCAACACAGGGAAAAAACTTCCTTTCAGTTTTCGCCGAGCTTTCAATTAATCGGAATCATTGTTGCTTGTAGTTAAAATAGTTTTGATTTTATCTAAAATAAAAAATGAAGTTTTTCGGAGGATCTACGGAAGAGGTCAACAAAGGGAAAAAACTTCCTTTCAGTTTTCGCCGAACTTTCGACAGTTTTTATACTGTCATCTTCAGGGCCTGTTTTATTGTCATACAAAAACAACAATTAAAAACATGAAAAAACAATTGCACAAAAATTGAAAATTTTATATATCTTACTTTAACCTTAATGGGGAAATAAAAAGAAACATGGTGTCGTGGGCACCGAAGTACATTACGTTTTTGGTTCTCAACATCTAAACATTATTTACAGTTGTTGCCACCATTTTGTCGTGGTCCTCTCGTCGAAGAGGGTTTGTTTTTAATCTGTGATCTTAATGTAAAATATTTAAATGTAAGCAAAGTTAATTATATATATGTATAAGAAACACGCTGTGATCGCATGTACCTGAAAACATAAGGTGTTTTACTAGTTTTTTAGACTTTTACAAGGTAACCTTTTCTCGATCACGTTTTCACTTGTACTTATATTTGTAATTTTTTTAATTATTAACTTTATTAAATTGTAAATAATGTTTAGATGCTGAGAACCAAAAAACGTAATGTACTTCGGTGCCCACGACACCTTGTTTCTTTTTATTTCCCCATTAAGGTTAAAGTAAGATATATAAAATTTTCAATTTTTGTGCAATTGTTTTTCATGTTTTTAATTGTAGTTTTTGTATGATAATAAAACAGGCCCTGAAGAAGACAGCATAAAAACTGTCGAAAGTTCGGCGAAAACTGAAAGGAAGTTTTTTCCCTTTGTTGACCTCTTCCGTAGATCCTCCGAAAAACTTCATTTTTTATTTTAGATAAAATCAAAACTATTTTAACTACAAGCAACAATGATTCCGATTAATTAATATAATAAAATTTAATATAAATGCTGACAGAAAGGTTGCAATTTTATTTTTGGACATATGGAAGGCACTTTATACGCTACATGACCAAATATTAATAAAAAACGTGATGATTTGGGAATCAAGGGCCTCTCCTTGTAGTTGTTCAAACTTATTTGACAAGCGATGTCAATGCGCTAGGATGATACCACTTTAAGCGCATTAAGCACTAATAAAATCATTGAACATGGAGTACCCTCAGGGATCTGTACTTGGTTCTATCATTTAGTCGATATGCATTCAGGTCAAGCTTCTCTACTTCCGTTCCCCTCTTTGCGTCTGTTTGATTAATAGGGTATAACCCCATAAGCGTCGAGAAAGTGGAACGTCGGAGTTGAGTATTAGAGGCACATAGTACCCGTACGTACCCCACCTGTCATCGGAAGACGGCAAGATTCATAAGCCTCAGGTTTGATCAACACAGTGACGGCGTCGAGGTGAAGGGAAGAAAAGTGATGACATTAAAGTACATCGGCCACTTCAGGCGAGGAACGAACTGGGAACACTCCTCAAACTTTTTGATTCCCTGCTGTGCTCTATCTTGTTATCGTTACATGGACTATCAGCTCGAAAAATGTATTTAGAAAGGCTCGATAGATTCCTCTATCACGAATTTCGAGCCGATTTCGGCGCGTTTAGAACAAGTCTTTGGCCATCCAGTACTTCCAGCTGGGAGTGGTGCCGCCAGAACATCGGAGAAAGTTTACTCTCGACTAAGCGGCGGGTTTTTGACCAAACCAAGATATCTACATTTCTGGTGAGAATGTTAGATATCAGTAAGCTTAATATACCTAGTTCAAACCCGGGCACGACCTTTAGGAATACGCTTCGGTGATGGTATAGAGTCAGGGATGATATTGGGAATAATATTCGTGCTCGGTAACAGGTCGACTCCACCGTGGATGTTTCTATCCGTGTTCGTCTTGTTAGCCAAGTCGTCTACCCCCATTCTTTTACTCAGTTCTTGCTCGTTGAACCTGGCAGACGAACAACCACCATCAAGTTTAAGTTCTTGAAACTTAGATCGAGATACGGCGGTTTTTCACCAGGTCTTCATGGAGGAGCACGCATGTGGTCGCTTCCGCCGTACTGTAGTTTATACAAAGTGAAATATCCGACTTTGCCCACGTTTGGAATAATTCGAAACGATGGTGGTTTTGTCTACCTTGTCCGTGACAAGTCTTCCGTGGATCTTATCGTCGTACTTTTCTTGTAAAGGTATTCAGAACTGAAGTGTTTCTGAGAGAAGTTGTGGTCGTCAGAGTCTCTGGGCTGATAGTTTGGAGTGTAACGAAAAGACAGACGAGGACGTCCAAACCTCCGGACTTAACCACCGTACCGGCCCTCTGACACTAAAAATGTGATTACAAACGTTAAAATCGCTCTCATATATTCTGATCCCGGACTAGTTAATACCCCAATGTAGGTAATTCATTCATACGTTCGATTCTGCACATGTACTTTTGTACATGTACTTCTTATTTTGTACATACGTATATACGTGTTTAGAGTTCAGCTTATATAAAATCAGTAAATATCTGACTAAAACCTTTTTACGTATCATTTTCAAAAATTGCACATATTTTAACATTTTCGTTTCCACTTCTGTTAAGTTCGGTTGAATTTTTCCATCAACACTTTCTGGTTTGATAGTGCTGTTTCGATGTTCCTTTTTCCCCTGGTGCTGCAGGATAAATATTATAATCATTAATGAGAAAATATTCATATGAGCATTTGACTTTACATTTTTATAAAAATAAATTTAAATATAGAAGCCAAACAATAACGTTTCCGTTTTAAACTGTCCATTTAATCATCAGAATAAAAATTACAATTGTAATGGATTATAAAAATAGTAGTCGACCATTCATTTGCTTTAGGGAAATAGTATATTTTTCCATGCTATTTGAAAATATGTGTAAATAAAGAAGTTCAGGAAGTTTTTAATGTTACAACACCAAAATTATTTTTTCTTTAATTTACAAAAAGTTGGAATAAAGACAAACATAGATAAATTGAAACATTTCCAATCTATTCTAAACGGTGAAAGTCATTTTGTTATATCTTGTTCTGAATAGATCCTCGAATAAATATAAAATCCAGAGATGTGCCAGTGAATTATCGTTTGACGATTCCGAAACGGAGCGTTCCTCTCATTCTAGACGAACTGTCGTCTTTGAGACCAGAAAACAGCAGTGCCAGAAGTTCTCCAGCGTTCAATTTTGGTAAGTTGGTAGGATCTGAAACTATAAAAATTATTTGAATAAATATAATTGCAAAAGCTAACAAAATATGTTTATTAAATGAATTCAAATATTTTGAAATATTGAAATATTCCATATTTTGATTTTATTTCATAGGCACATCGTACTGAAAATTGTATTTAGTGGAATAAATTATTTCTTTTTCAAATATATACATATATACAGTTAGTTTCTACAATAGAATAATATTAGTAAATAAGTAAAATTGTAACTAAAGGTGATTAGTGACCGTTAATCGATAATTATTCAGAAATCGTGAGATGCGGTCTGGTGTGATAGGTTTCAGAAAAACATTTTCTTTATCGTGCCTCACAAAGATGTGTGGCACTCTCAACACGACACGCAAGAATGGCACAATTACACAGAAGACAAACACTTTGAGCCCTGAAGATGATCTCAATAAAGATCGAAACGTTGGCACGAAAAAGAAATTGTTTTTCTGAAACCTATCACACCAGACCGCATCTCACGATTTCTGAATAATTATTGTAACTAAACATAGAAGCAGTTACCAAATTCCCTTCCAAGCTATGTACAAAAAGGTTATAAAGGATAAAGACAATGGTCTTCGTAAGCCAATAATAGTTTTTATATTTTAAAAAAGGGGAAAGGAAAGTAAAATTCTACGGCTAAACTGTGAGGGCTAGTTCTTACAAAACTGAATTCTCTCTCAACCTCTACCTCAACCTCTCTCATTCTCACTCTCTTTCTCTCATTTACACTCAAACTATCTAAACATCAATCTAGGGTATCGATCTATTCTTCAATCAACCTATCAATCCTTATTCTACCTATCTACCTATCTATATTACCTACCTATCTGTCCATGTTTTATCTAATTAATCTATTATTTCTCTCTATTCTATTGAAAGTCAATCCAGCTCTCTAGTGAAAAAAAAGGCTATTTGAGTACATCTACATCCGTATATTTAAGTCCGATAAACTTAATAATAGCTTTTCCATCGCCCCCGCAATACCCCTGATCATTTTGTAAAAATTGGGTTAGAATCTCCTAGCGTCCAAATTTTGAATAGGGTCTTAAACTGGCTTATTAAAGCTTACATTTCAGATGAAAAGTTGCTTCTAACGAGATCTTTTGAATGGGTCTTGTTCATAACAAACATTTCATACCTCGTAAAGCAATTTGCAATGGTAACTGGCTTGTTCATCTACGTGGTCTACTGGTTCGTTTAGGTTTCGAACCCTTCCCTCTTACTGGATGGTGTAAGTGTTGTGGCGAAGAGACAACATAAAACTATCCCGTATCAATAAAATTGCAGTAATGCACAATTGGAAAAAACGTGCAATACTTTCAGTTTTAATCAAGTTTGTTTTCGAGAATATGACTTTCTTGTTCTTCTGACAACCCAGTGTCAGAATCTAGGTCCCACACTGAATTACCATTTTATCCTAAATCATTCAAAACCACTTGATCAAGAATTATTTTTGATATCTTAGTTTAAAAATTTAAATTACACTGACGTGTAGTTCTAGCGACCGCAATACTTTCAAAACCACGTAAGAAAAAAACGCGGAAAGACAACAGAACTCAACATATGTTCATCGGGCTCTGGTTTGAAATAAGAACAAATCATTCTGCCCATTAGTAGTGAGGCTATTTGTGAAAAATATCCATTAAGGTCCCCAAGACCTCACGTCAGTGTAATTAAGGTTATTAAACTATATAGTTGTAAAAGTAATTCGATACAAATGAAGAATATACTGCACGACCAGCAAGTCATGAAGGTTTAGCATAAGCAATAACCCGCGAAATAGTGGCATCTACATTTTTCTTACGCGAGTATATTGTATATCTATGTATGCTTATGTCAGAAAACAGAAAGAAAGTTTAGCTGACTCGTACAACACCCGCTTCCTATTAACCTGAAAAAGTGTACGTTTTGTGCAAAAAATTAATCCTAGTACAACCGAATATTTTCAGCTTATTCTTATTAAGTCAAATATGCTTTAAATCAATATTTATTTAAATTACTTTACCTTGAACAACTGGTGGAGGCTCGTATTCTTGGTATGGTGGCACCGTGTCATAAACGAAGTACGGTCTGGAATCTGCTCCTCGAAATCTGGCGACAGGATGATACGGAAGGTGTTGTCTTTTGCCGGTAGTTCGAAATAGCCGCATCGGAGTACTCCTCGACCATTCGGCACCAACTAAAAATTAACCAGTTATTAAATATTTAAATTTTCTGCAAGAATTGGCATTTAAACCACGTTTTCCAAATAAAGATAATCTTTAGCTTGATAAGTATTTATTATTCCAAGTTTACTTTATAGATTTTAGTTTAAATAGTAACTTTATTTGTATTTTTTCGATAGTTATTCAATTTATCCACCACTTGGCTTTTTTAGTATAGCATAAAGCATTTGTTTTTGAATAAGAACAAATTTTAAATTTGCTGCATTTTTACCAACTGACTTGCAACATTTGCGAATCCTTGCCAAATTTCAGGATTGGATGGCAAAAAAAAACTTTTATTTTGGAAAAGCAATTTATCAATAGACTAGGAACGAACGACTAGAGTCTGACATGGAATAAAAAGAAAAACGATCATTTTTCTCTGCTTTATTTTCCAACATGTTAAGGGACATGTATAAAGGATTATTTTAGCACCTTCATTATTTAAATAATAAATAGATAAATAGATTATTAACAGAAGTATGAGTGAATTTAAGTGAAGCTACTTGATCACAGATAAATATGTGAGACAACTTTGAACAGGAAATATTTATGCTTTTACTTATTACCAAAATGGTTGGTGGTTTGTTAACGTTTCGACAGAAAGTAAGAACAAATCTTAAATTTTTCCATACAGCAAAATATCTACTTTTAGCATGTTAATAATTTTGTACAAGTTAAGCTGACAGCAAATTGCTTTTAACATCACAGAAAGCCAATCTAGATGGAGGGGAAGGATAAGAGTGTCGAAAGCTTTTAAATGTAAATTTTTCGTAAAAACAAAAGATATGGTAATGGAAACAGGATTTTCTGACGGCTCAGAACCTTGGTTAATAATAGGGTTGATGGATCCCATAATACCGCAAATGAAGGTTTTTGAGAGAGAAAGCATCAATTATTGTCCACGGAGATTTACTTGAAAATTCAATGGATCATTGAGAAAGATTGTCATAAATACGTCCATTCATGATAGACTGTGGTCGTTATTAAAAGTACCTGAAGAACATATGGCTTTGAGAAATTACTTCAAAAAGTCGTTAGCAATGAGTAATCACAGGCGTACTCAGGAAAACCGGTGTTGAAAGTTTCTCCTTGATAAGACAATCCAAAAACAATTGTAAATATTATCTATTACATAGAAATAAATGTTTTCATCGTTTATGATGACACAAATTTAATGAAATTGTTTACCAACAAAATTATATTTGCAATGATATAAATAAATTCACTATTTTTCGTGATCCGCTTGACCAATTAATATCAATCAATTAAGATTTTAAGTTGAGATAAAAAAGTCAATGTCACGAACGGGATTCGAACCCACGACCTTCGGCTTGATACGCCGCTACTCTACCACTTGAGCTATCGTGACTTCGATCCCCTGGTGCACCAACTTCCCATTTCAACCACACCTTTTTGAATTTTCCCTCCTTTTTAACAAAATTGACGGGGGAATTGAAGAAAAATGGCAAAAGGATGGAAAGCTCATAAGGTGGGGTGGAGATGGGGAGTTGATGTCCGAGTGGATCGAGGTCATGATAGCTCAGGTGGTAGAGTAGCGGCGTATCTAGCCGAAGGTCGTAGGTTCGAATCCCGCTCGTGACACTGACTTTTTTATCTCAACTTAAAACCTTAATTAATTGATTGATATAAATAAAAGAAATTTCATAACGACAAAAAAAGATCGGAGTGTAAGATTGATAAATATCAAATTTTCAAGTTCAAAATCAACTAACATAGCAAAATAATAAGAAAATACAAATATGTTTGTATCGGACTTGAAAATTAATAAATTGGTGTTTGCGAGCGATGTGGTCCGAAATTAAGTACTTTTATATTTTTGGCAAGTTTTTTTAGTTTTTTGATTTAGCTTTCCTCAGGGATGCCTATTATTAGTTAAAAAACATAAGTAAAAGCAGCATTTTTATTTTATAGTAAATTTACAATGTAATAAACAGATAACAAATAAATAAATAATCTATTTAATTAACATTATTTTTAGTAAAATGTAACCGTTACGGTCAGTTCAAGTTTGTCTGTTTTGTTGAAGGTTTTTATCATAAAGTTACTATGTCCAGCTCTCTAGAGTTTATCCACTTCTCATTTTGTATTTTTTTAAATCCAATCTGAGATAAAGAATTCTATATTTGTTGTTGTTATTCCAAGTATATATTCAGGCCAATATATAGTCTTGCAGATTTTCGTTTTGCCAGTTTGTCGGCCTTTTTGTTACCCAAAATTCCTTTGTGATCTGGTACGCTGGATACTCGGACGACGGACTTGTGTCGGCAACTGGGATCAGTAAACTGCAGAAATATATATATATATATATATCACCTGACTATAAAACTTGAAACAAGCAAGAATTTCCGCTCCGGGAAAAAACCGAAGTTTATATTGATATAATACCATGATAGTGGTGTGTTGTGGTAGCTAGGACGTCCCTTCGTTAGTCTAGTGTTTTTTGGTGAGGTGAGTTCAATTGGATAAATATTTTGACGATTCGACAAGTATGCTGGGTGTTAGTTTGTAGCTCGGATTCCCTATTGGGAAGTGTGGGGACTCAATCTCCCTAGAAACCTGGTTTCCGGGTTGGGTAAGATTTATTTATTCAGTTTTTCTTTTTCTTTTATCGTCATCTGTTTTTTCAATTTTTTCAAAATTTTCCAAAATCATTTGAAACGCCCTTTCGGCCTAGTGGGCCGAGAAGTTTTTCGAAATCGATTACCCCTTCTAAATAGGACACCCTCCCCGGTTGTTTCTCCTTCTGGGGCAAGACGTTTTGCTATTTGTAGATCGGATAGGAAAGATAATGACGGCCCTCATTCACTGTCGCCAACAAGAATATGTAGAGTAATAAATAGAGAAGTAGGGAAAGTAGTAAACATAAAAAAAGGTCGTGATGGTTTAATTTATATCGAAGCGTTCAATGAGGAACAAGAGAGTAAAATAATTAAAATTAAAAATTTACAAAGTATGCCGGTTAAGGTTGAAAAAACGTAAAATTTAACACCTCAAAAGGTGTAATTTCTTGCTGGGACTTGAAAGAGTGTACTGATAAAGAACTCCTCGAAGAATTAGAGTTCCAATGTCATAAGCATTCAACGGTTAAAAAGAAAATATGGTAGGACATCTTTTTCATGGGTTGTTACATTCAATACCCCGTGTCCTCCAAAAGAATTGTATGTTGTCTGTATGAAGATATGCATACATATATAATATATATCCCAATTTTATTGGAGTTTTTTGGGAAAAATCCCAAGACACGTAAACTTTTATTTTTTATCTACTTTCTAATGAGCTAACAGTTTTGAACTTATTTCCAAGGTAGCTGGATAAGAAAAGGTGCTTAACTATTTCAAATAGCAAGATACTTATCAATGTACATTTTTAAGGGGTTTTGAAGATGAATACAACTGTTAAACTGTTTTTAATTTGAGGCAACCTGCCTCAAGTTATCTGTAAAAAAACTATTTCCGAACAATTTTTTGGAAAAAATAAAAGTATACTTTATTTACTTTTCTACTGCAAATACATGTTGTTTTTTAACGATTTATTTCTTTAAGCTTTGTAAGTAGAAAAAAATGAAATTTACGCAATATAAATTCAAAACAGCCTGCAATCTTATAATTTCAATTTAGTAACAGCACGTTAGGCGAATTCGTTCATAATTTTTTTTCCGTCCCCCTTGTGGTATTGTGTCGATTTACACAGCATCGGTACGAGAGATATAGCGGATAAAACTAAATCAAATAAACAATCGATCTTGCACGAGATCCTACTCGCATCTTCCTTCTCCTGGAATTCCATTAGCGGTCGCCCGTGGAATAAGAATAGACGCTCCGTCGTGACCGCATTTAGTTGAAAACGTTCGACAGTTGCAAGGTATCTTTTATACCAAAATTAACCTTTCTTAAGGTCAAACAGGACCGCTTCGGATCGACTTCTGTTAAAGTGGTTTCAGGCCATATACGGCCGGCATTAAATCTAAACGGCCACCTCCTGGGTTATGTTGAACCATGTCCATGGATATTGAGCTTTGCAGGCCAATCTATTAAAAAAATATTTATTTTTTTATTTTTTGCATGAGTTTATCTCATCAGGGAGCCAAAGAATATAAAAACATTTGGCAAATGAATTGCCAAAAATTTAAATAAATAAACACGATAATTATATTATACGAAATTCTTGTCTAATAAAAACATTCTTTTCATTCAACTTTTTACATATAATTACAAAAATCAATCTACAGTGAGAGTTGCTTGCGGATTTATCACATAAATATTGGCCTATAAATAGTGTTTTACAAATTACTTATGCCCTTTACGTTAGAAACCTGCTCGCAAAGAAAGAAAATATTTATTTATTTAGCTTGGTCAAAAAATTATGTTGGTGACACTTTTTGTCATATAAACATTGCAATGTTTTCAATTGTCGTACGATCAAAATTAATTACTAGGTAGAACCTTAGTACAATGTCGGCTGACCTAAACTTGCTAGAATAAGCCTGAGATAAATGATTCTCAGTTCTTCCGACGTAGTGGTCATTAAATCTTATTTCCGTCCTTTGTTCACTGCTAAAACCTAACTCAAATTTAGACTCGCCTTTGTCCAATCTAATTGCTAAATATTGCTTTTGGTGATCCGACTTAAAGCTGCAATTCCTCCTGGTTCAACAACCTGAAATAAGAGCTGGCTGCTATAATGAAATTGTGATAATCTGATATTTTCATTTTAGTGACGAGAGACGTCATTACGAATCCAATTTCATCCTGATTAAGTGGCCTCTGGTTCAAATGGTAGCTACCTAAAAAGAATTTACTTGCAGAACTTCAACACTTACTGCATTTCCTCCGTTTCTTTAAAATAATTCTACAAAATTACTATTTAATTTATAAATTATCTATATTTTGAAGTGTTCATAATTATTTACCAACAAAATCTTTTCTGAGTTCATGCAAAAACATATCCCTAT